GTGGCACAGCCCCCTGCCTCAGGAGCACGTGCTCCGGCTACTTCCTTGTATTCTGTTCCTTCCCCAGCTTATCACAGCTCCACATAGCACTGCCCACTGCCTCAGGAGCGTGAGCTCCGGTTACTTCTCTGTATCCAGTTCCCATCCCAGTTCACCACAACTCCGCCTAGCACAGCCCCTGCCTTGGGAGCGTGAGCTCCGGTTACTTCCTAATATCTTGTTCCTACCCCATCTTGCCACAATCCTCACTTGGCAGTAGCCAACATCAGACAGTCCCTCACAAAGAACCACAAGAATAAAGCAATAAAACAAAACAGTAAAGGAGAAGGAGAACAAATAGTATGCTTCCATCTGCATTCAGACTCCATATTTCTTTCTCTGGGTGTGAATACCAATTTCCATCATGAATCTTTTGGAGCTGTCTTAGATTCTTGTGTCACTGTGAAGAGTCAAGTCTATCAAAGTCAGTCATCCTATAATGTGGCTGTTACTGTATATAATGTTCTTGGTTCTGCTCATTTCACTCTGCATCAGTTCATGTAAGTCTTTCCAAGGTTTTTTGAATTTGGCCTGCTCATCATTTCTTACAGCACAGTGGTATTCTATTACATTCACATACCACAACTTGTTCAGCCATTCCCCAATTGATGGGTATCCCCTCAATTTCCAGTTCTTTGCCACCACAAGAAGAACTGCTGTAAATATTTTTATACATGTAAGTCCTTTTCCTTTTTTTATGATTTCTTTGGGATACAAACTTAGTAGTGGTATTGCTGGATCAAAGCGTATGCACAATTTTATAGCCCTTTGGGCATAGTTACAAATTGCTCTCCAAAATGGTTGGATCATTTCACAACTCCACCAACAATGTATTAGTGTTCCACTTTTCGCACATCTTCTCCAACATTTATCATTGTCCTGTTTTGTCATGTTAGCCAGTCTGATAGGTGTGATGTGGTACCTCAGTGTTGTTTTGATTTGCATTTCTCTAATCAATACTGATTTAGAACATTTTTTCATATAACTATAGATAGCTTTAGTTTCTTCCTCTGACAACTGCCTGTTCATATCCTTTGACCATTTATCAATTTGGGAATGATTTGTGTTCTTATAAGTTTGACTCAGTTCTCTATATATTTTAGAAATGAAGCCTTTATCAGAGACACTGGTTGTAAAAATTCTTTCCCAGTTTTCTGCTTCCCTCCTAATCTTGGATGCATTGGCTTTCCATGTGCAAAAACTTTTCAATTTAATGTAATCAAAATTGTGCATTTTGCATTTCATAATGTTCTCTATCTCTTGTTTGGTCATAAATTCTTCCCTTTTCCATAGATCTGAAAGGTAAACTATTCCTTGCTCTTCTCGTTTGCTTATAGTATCAGTCTTTATATTTAAATCATGTACCCATTTTGACTTAATCTTGGTATAGGGTTTATGATGTTGGTCCATGCCCAGTTTCTGCCATACATTTTTCCACTTTTCTCAGCAGTTTTTGCTAAATAGTGATTTCTTATCCCAGAAGCTGGAGTCTTTGGATTTATCAAATGATAGATTAGTATGGTCGTTGACTGTTATGTCTTGTATGCCTAACCTATTCCACTGATCCACCGCTCTATTTCTTAGCCAGTAGTACCAAGTAGTTTTGATGATTGCTGCTTTATAATACAATTTAAGATCAGGTACAGCTAGGCCACCTTTCCTTGCATTTCTTTTCATTAGTTCCTTTGATATTTTGGACTTTTTGTTCTTCCAGATGAATTTTTTTATTGTTTTTTCTAGCTCTATAAAATAATGATTTAGTAGTTTGATTGGTGTGGCACTGTATTAGTAAATTAATTTACGTAGAATTGTCATTTTTATTATATTAGCTTGACCTACTCATGAGCCACTGATACTTTTCCAGTTATTTAGATCTGACTTTATTTGTGTGAAAAGTGTTTTGTAATTGTGTTCATATAGTTCCTGGTTTTGTTTTGGCAGGTAGACTCCCAAATATTTTATAGTGTCTACAGTAATTTTAAATGGAATTTCTCTTTCTGTCTCTTGCTGCTGGGCTTTGTTAGTAATATATAGAAATACTGATGATTTGTGTGGGTTTATTTTATATCCTACAACTTTACTAAATTTGTTTATTGTTTCAAAGAGTGATAGCTTTGTTTCTTCTTTGCCTGTTCTAATTCCTTCCATTTCTTTTACTTCTCTGATTGCTACAGCTAACATTTCTAGGACAATATTGAATAACAGTGGTAGTAATGGATATCCTTGTTTCACCCCCGATCTTACTGGCAATGCTTCTAGCTTATTCCCATTGCATATAATGCTTGCTGATGGTTTTTGATAGATGCTATCTATCATTTTAAGGAAGACTCCATTTATTCCTATGCTGTCTAGTGTTTTTAATAGAAACGGGTGTTGTATTTTGTTAAAGGCTTTTTCTGCATCTATTGAGATAATCATATGATTTCTGTTAGTTTTGTTGTTGATAAGGTCAACTATGCTGATAGTTTTCCTAATATTGAACCAGCCTTGCATTCCTGGTATAAATCTTACCTGGTCATAGAGTATTATCCTTGAGATAAGTTATTGTGATCTCTTTGCTAATATTTTATTTTAAATTTTTGAATCTATATTCGTTAGGGAAATTGGTCTATAACTTTTTTCTCAGTTTTGGCTCTTCTTGGCTTAGGTATCAGCACCATATTTGTATCATAAAAAGAATTTGGTAGGACTCCTTCACCTGTTTTCCCAAATAGTTTATGTAATATTGGAATTAGTTGTTCTTTAAATGTTTCATAGAATTCACTTGTAAATCCATCTGGCCTGGAGATTTTTTTCTTGGGGAGTTCATTGGTGGCTTGTTCAAATTCTTTTTCTGAAATGGGGTTGTTTAAGTATTTTATTTCCACCTCTGTTAATCTGGGCAATTTATATTTTTGCAAATATTCATCCATTTCACTAAGATTGTCAAATTTATTGGCATTCATTTGGGCAAAATAGCTTCTAATTATTGTTTTGATTTCCTCTTCATTGGTGGTGAATTCACCCTTTTCATTTTTGATGCTGGTAATTTGGTTTTCTTCTTCTTTTTAATTAAATTAACCAAAGGTTTATCTATTTTATTGTTGTTGGGTTTTGTTTTGTTTTGTTTTTTCATAAAACCAGCTTAGTTTTATTAGTTCAATAGTTTTCTTAGTTTCAGTTTTATTAATCTCTCCTTTGGTTTTCAGAATTTCTAATTTAGTATTTAATTGGGGTTTTTCAATTTGTTCTTTTTCTAACTTTTTTAGTTGCATGTCCAATTCATTGATCTCTTCTTTCTCCATTTTATTCATATAAGCATTTAGAGATATAAAACTTCCCCTAAGGACCTCTTTCACTGCATCCCATAGATTTTAGTATGTTGTCTCATTATTGTCATTCTCTTAGATGCAGATTGTTTCTATGATTTGTTGTTTGACCCACTCATTCTTTAGGATTAGATTATTTAGTTTCCAATTAATTTTTAGTCTATCTTTCCATGGCCCTTTATTATATATAATTTTTATTGCATCATGATCTTAAAAGGATGCATTTAATATTTCTGCCTTTCTTCATTTGATTGTGAGGTTTTTATGCCCTAGTACATGATCAGTTTTTGTGTAGGTGCCATGTACCGCCAAGAAAAAGGTATATTTCCTTTCTGTCCCCATTCAGTTTTCTCCAGAGGTCAACCAAATTTACTTTTCTAAGATTCTATTGATCTCCTTAACTTCTTTCTTGTTTATTTTGTGGTTAAATTTCTCTAGTTCTGAGAGGGGGAGGGGAAAGTTTCCGCACTAGTATAGTTTTGCTGTCTGTTTCTTCCTGTATCTCCCTTAACTTCTTTAAGAATTTGACTGCTATACCAATTGGTGCATATATATTTAGTAATGATATTCATTATCTATCAAGATGTAGTTTCCTTCCTTATCTCTTTTAATTAGATCTGTTTTTGCTTTTGCTTTGTCCGAATTCAGGATTGCTACCCCTGCTTATTTTACTCCAGCTGAAGCATAATGTATTCTGCTCCAGCCTTTTACCTTTACTCTGTGTGTATCCCTCTGCTTCAAATGTGTTTCTTGTAAACAATATATTATAGGATTATGGTTCTTAATCCACTCTACTATTCATTTCCATTTTATGGGAGAGTTCATCCCATTCATATTCACAGTTATGATTACTATTTTTGTCTTACTTTCCATCCTATTCTCTCCTCCCCCTTATGCTTTTTTCTCTCCTTTTTCCCTTTCCCTCCTCAGTCTGCCCTCCCTTCTATTAGCTCCCTCCCTTTTCTTTTCCTATAGGGTAAGTTAGATTTCTATACCTAACTGATCTTGTCCCGCTTTGAACCAAATCTGATGAGAGTAAGGTTCAAAAACAATGCTCATCTCCCTCCCTTCTTTCCCTCTACTGTATTTGGTTTTTGTGCCTCTTCATGTGATGTAATTTATCCTTGTCTGCCTCCTTTCTTCTTCTCTCAGTACAATCCCTTTTCACCACCCTTTTTAATTGTCTCTACTGGATCTATTTTCCAGGTCAGTTGTTTTACCAATGAGGTATTTTACATTTTCTTGTATTTTTTCATTCTTTTGTTTCTGTTTGACTGATTCTTGTTCTCAGGGTCATTAGCTTCCACTTGCCCCATTATAATTTTTAAGGAGTTTTCTTTTATTTGATTTTGTACCTCCCTTTCCATTTGACCCATTTTACTTTTTAAGGAGTTCTCTTCAGTGAGTTTTTGTGCTTCCTTTTCCATTTGACCAATTCTACTTTTTAAAGACTTGTTTGCTACAACAAAGGAATATAACTTTTAGTTCATAGTTGGTGATAAATTTTATAAGTTACTAAAAGTTGAGAAATAGATTCACAAATATTTAACTTTGGTCCTTGGATGTGTATGTATGGTATATACATGATAGATATGGTGTGCATTTTATATAAAATATTGGTTTTTATGTGTTAATTTTTCCCTTTCTTTTTAGGTCCTAGAACTGTGTTTTTCTGGGCACCAATTATGAAATGGGTGAGTTTGACTTCAGGCAAATAATAAGAAATCTCTGGATGACTTAAACCCTTATTTTTTAACAACAGAGTAGATAGGATCAAATGACTTTGTAAATTAAAAATATACTCTTTGTATGCCTTAAAATTACTTTATAGCAAATATTCTCATCATTATCATGCTGAACTATATATGAGGAACTTGTTTAAGGAATTCAAACTGAGGGTATTGGTGGCATCAGGAAATAATAAAATTTTAGTTCTTCGAATTCTAGTCCTATGTCCTGAGGACCACACCACTTAACTAATTTAGCTTAAATAAAAAACCTTTTCCAGGCATTTTTAATTATTAAAAACCGTACATTGCAGGGGTTAAAATGTTAAAACTAATTTCTACTCCAAAGTTATTTTTTTTTTATTATGAGAGCTAGAGTTAAAGGCAACTTGGCTCAGGGTTTATTTTAAAAGACATTTTGGTTTTTAATTTTAGATATTCTGTGCCACAGTCTCATTTATCATGTTGAAATCTAGATGTTTTCACTTCTCTATATTGTTGCTTCTCAGATTGTGTTGTAGCAAATCATGATGTTGAGGTTTAGGGGTGCTGGGACTCCAAAATTATAACACATGGGTCCTGCCCAAATGAATTTGACCCAAGCCTTCTTTCAGCCAAAGACAAGTTTTATTAGAACATCTGCCATGTTGGCCAGACTCTTAAGGAATCTAAGCAATTGCTATCACTAATGCAATCAGATTACATCTTAAGAATCTGTGCCCTTGGCTAGACTTATCAATGAATCTGAGCACCTTAATGGAGACAAGATAAATCTTATTTACAGAAAGACTGTGGGAGGGATCTAGAAGTGACCAAGTAGTCTGAGGTGACTGGAGGAGGGGTCTAAGGAAGATCTGGATGGGAGTGACCAGTAAGCTGTGGGGTGAACAGAGGCAATATAGGGAGGTAACAGAACAGAATTGGGAGATTGGACATAGCCACAATGAAAGGCCAGTTGAGTGGATTACAGCTTCAGAGAAATGCCAGAGATGTGAGAAAAGTACAAGAATTTTCTTTTTTGGGGAACAGATCCCAAAAAACATGGTTTCCCTTTAGGGGTTCAGATCCCATCCCCATCAATGAGAGTACTAACCATCAGCATAGTACTAAGTATCCCTATGATAGATAAGATATAGGAAACTATAGAACCTGGTAAAAAAATAATAACAGAAATCATTTGGAAAAATAAAAGATCTAGGTCTAGACTATCAAGGGAAACGATAAAAAAGAGTTAGGAATGAGGGGGCGACAGTACTTCCAGACCTCAAACTATGTTATAAAACAGCAGTCACCAAAACTATCTGATGTTAGTTAAAAAAATTAGAGAGATAGCCCAATGGAATGGACTAGACAAGAGTGAATAGAGCCTGAACTAGGCCTGTGGCTATTGAGTGTTGATAAGGGAGATTGGTGGTGCCGGAGATAAAGCACTAGGCTTGGATTCAGGAATACCTGACTTCAAATCCAGCCTCAGACACTTACGCTAGCTGGGTGAACCTGGGCAAGTCCCTTAACCTGTCTGCCTGAGTTTCCTCATCTGTAAAAATGGGGATAATAGGAATAGGGAAGTTAAGAGAGGAAGGTAGGTTCTAGAGGATGGGTTTGGGGGGGGGATTTTGTTTTTGTTTTTTGATACTTAGTTTAAGGTGCCTGGAGGATATCTACTTGGAGATAATCCAATTGGTAGTTTGTAAGTTGGTACAGGAACTCTGGAGAAAGATAAGGCCTGGGTTTGGGGATCATCTGCATAGAAATTGAGCCCTGGGGAATTCATGAGATCACAGAGGGAAGGAGAAGAGGAGGAAAAGGGGGTGAGAAGGAAGAAAGATCTGGGCGGAGCCCTTGGGTAAATCCACATATTGAGCAGAATGTGGATGGTTTTAACAGATAAGAAAAGAAAACAGTGTCATAAAAATCCAGGTGGCAGGAGGCTGGTTGACTGTGTTAAATGCTGAACCGAGGTCCTAAAGGATTAAGAGATTGTTGGTGCCTTTGTAGAGAGCTGTTTTAGTTGAGCACTAGATTGCTAAAGGTTGTGCACTGACAGAGAGGAGGAAGTGGAAACAATGAAAAGAAATCTATTTACAGCTTTTTTCTAGGAATTTAACTATGAAAAGGAGGAGAGATTAGAGATAATAGGATCAAATAAAGTGTTTGTTTTTATTTTTTTAAGACTAAAGATATTGATCAAAAACACATTATTATGTCACATTATGTGCCTTTTGTATACTTCCCTTTTAAAACAGAAATGTGTGTAAAGAATGTTGAGGCTACCTTACAGCATTACAATAGATGGCACAATGGATGAGGAACCCTAGACCCAGTTGGAATCTGGAAGACCTGGGTTCGCATTCAACTTGAAGCACTCACTAGCTTGTGTGACCCTGGCAGGTTTTAACCACTGTCTGCTTCACATTCCTCATCTGTAAAATGGGAATAATAGCACATCCCTCCTGGGCTTGTTGCGAATATAAAAGGAGATAATATTTGTAAAGCATTTTTGCAAACCTTGAAGTGCTTTAATGCTATTTAAAGCTACTATTTAAAGTGCTATTATTATTTATATGGATAATGCATCTAAAAAGCAAGGAAAGTTGTACTTTTAAAATTTGTAAACCTATAAGAACTACTTCTAAAGCCCTACTCTGATGCTTCCTCATGGCATGAAGGTAGCCCTGAGTTAGCAGAGTTCACAATCTGCTAAGTCCTACCAGGCTAGAATGTCTTCAAGTACAGGCCTTGTGGTGTTAGGATTTATGTCTGCTGTCAGAGATGATCATCATTAGGTTGGCCCCAGGACAAATTAAATGATTGACCGTAGCCATTCTTGAAGACTATCTATAAGGTTCGAAGACTGTCAATAAGGTTATAGAGGTGTTGCCATCTGCATTGCCAGAGGAAGCACCCACACAGATCCTTGAAGTTTATCTTATGAAAAAAATTGGGGGAAGGGAGAAGAGAGGACAGGAGAGGTTGAGAAAACAGATCAAGAGTTAGAGTTTCACTACTGCTTTGTTTGATATTAAGTCTCAAGGAGAACACATTATACCTCAGAGTTTTTGTTTGTGGATTAACTGATGAAAACCAAAATTTACTTCTCTAGATGATTTCGATCTGTTAATGGTGCCTGTACAATTAATCATAGGATCACAAATATGGTGCTTTCTCATTATAATCCTAGGGTCACAGAAACAGAGCTGGAAGAGATAAAATAATTTATATTTAGAGGATTGATTCATTCTTTGTATTTGTACACCCATAGCCTAGCATAGTACCTGGCACATAGGCCCATAATAAATGCTAGCTGATTGACTAATAAAATTACTTTCACATATACATCATGTCATTTGATATTGTCAAATCTGCAAAATCGTTTTTATACTCTGATTACTTACTGAAATTTAGACCTACATGCAAACAGGTTTGAATTCAAACAAAAGATTTAAGGGAAATGGAGTTCATTTGCCTTCCCCCAAAGTCTAGGCAGTTGACATCCGAATAGAGGAAATTTGCAAACTTTCTGGAAAAGGGAATTAATAAGCTGTGTGAGAGCATTCCCAGTTTATTGCCACCATTCCCTGGAAAAGAGGCAGAAAAAGTGAAAAAGTTACCAAATGCTGCCATCTTGCATACTCAGTGCCAGGGCCATCACAGATACTTGGCTAACTATTTTCTTCTGTTGTTTAATAATTTGTTCAGTTTTGCCTTTTTAAAAGCTAAATGTTGTTTCTAAATGTTTATTTGATAATTTTTGTTGATGGTTGTTAAATTTCAAATAATTTTTTAAAACCATTCTGCTAACCTCTGTATAACACAAGCCTCCAAATACACTCCCTCTGCCTTCTCTTTACCTACAGTCTGATTCTGTGCCCATGTTGTAGGAGATGTAAAGCAAGGCAGGGGAAAAAGAAAGGAACGAGAAGATGAAAGCTTAGAAGGGAGAGGGGAAGAGTGAGATAAATTGTAGGATGGAGGATCAAGGAAAAGAAAAGGTCGAACTTGTCACCATAGACCTCTAATTATGCTTCCATACTTCAAATTGAAACTGGTTAAACAGTCTTTTCTTCTACTGATGTGATTAATTGAAAAGACTTTAATTACTTGGTTAAAACTTATGCCCTTTCCTAAAATGTGGTTTTATAGATATTTTTGTTATCTAGATAAATTTGATTGTTTACTATGTCTAAGAACATGCATAAGAAATGTATAACAGAATTTCTCAGGAAATTCAAAGATTAAAAATAAATAGCTTTTTTAAAGTACATTCTTCACATTCTAAAGCGACTTGTCTCTCGAAATATAATAAAGATATGACTACACTTTCTGAATGAGGCTAAGATATGTTCGCTATGGTTGTGATAATTCCTTGAATAAATCATGTTGAAGGTATAGAATGTATTTGGAGAAATGGCCCTGTGCTGATATTCAAGCAATATAATAGAAATATATTTAGTTTGTTATTCTGAAATAAAACATTTCCTGTATTTTTTTCAAAAGCAAAAATAGTATAGAAAAACAAAAGAATGGAAAGGAAGACACTCGGATCATTAGTCTCAAAGCAATTTTCATATGTATATATATTTTGCTCATTAATTTTGAGTTATGGTTTGTGTATTTTCCAGGGGTTAGTTTGTGCTGGATTGGCTGACATGGCTAGGCCAGCAGAAAAACTCAGCACAGCACAGTCTGCTGTATTAATGGCTACAGGTGAGTGTTTCAAATCTTCCATTATGCTTTTCATTTTTATTTTAAATGTACTTAACAAAAGGCAGCATGGTGTAGTGCAGAGAGGGCCAGCTTTGGGGCTCAGTAAGATCTGGGTTCTTGACAATTACTAGCTATGTGACTGTGGTTAAGTAATTTTACTTCTCATGCTCCTCAGGTAATTCTCTAGGACTTTCAGGTTGTAAATGTGTTGCAGCTCTGCATCTAGTAGAGGAGAGGAGTTTACACATCATGAGGTCCCTACACCAAAGAAATTATACATCTGGACCCAAAAAAATTATTTAGCTATGTATGAATTTTTTTGGTAGAATCAAATGAATCATATATATCTTTAAAAAATAAAAAAAGGTGGTAGAGGAGATAGTTTTCCTTTTTGAATAGGAAAAAAATTATATCACACTGGATATGGACCTCTTAATGGCAACTAAAGTTTGGACGGGGATGGGGAATCATCATAATGTGATGGGGGCATCACATTACCATCTCTTCTTTTGTGGTCTTTTTAAATTTCTAACTATTTAACACTAAAAACTGAATAATTAAAATATAGCAGTGCAGCAATAGTTAAGCTTTCCGCCCACACTTTGTTTCTTTTTTGTTTTAACAGGGTTAATTTGGTCAAGATACTCTCTTGTTATTATTCCTAAAAACTGGAGTCTGTTTGCTGTTAATTTTTTTGTCGGTGCCGCAGGAGCCTCTCAGCTCTTCCGTATATGGAGGTATGCCTGTTAATATAAGCATATACACTTTCCAAAAAGTCCATGTTGTGATAAATATTATTTTACATATGAAATGAATCTACAGACCGGGTAATATTTTGCAAAGTATTATTTTAAAGTATAGCATGTTACAACTAAGCCACGTTATATTGCAGTTTCACTGAACTTTGTATTTTTGTGGACCCATTTAATGAATAATAGGGTATGTAACTTTATAATGCTTAAGTAGAGATGTATGTGTCTCAGGAAGATGGCTCAAGGTAATAAATGCCTGGAAGAAAGGAGTTCACAAATTGTATAATCAAAGTCTTGAAAATTAGAATTGGAATAAACTTGTTCAACCACATTTTCTATGTGTTTTCCACTAATAGCTGAGTATTTTTGCCATATTTGCTCAATTTTTATACTAGTTTACAATCATTAAGTAATGGTGATTATTCTGTTTTCAGAGAAAATTCAATTCAATAAACATTTATTAAGTGCCTGCGTGTTGTGCCCTGGGAATGCAAATAAGAAAAAGAAAGACACTTCCTGCCTTCAAGGAATTTAGAATCTATTGGGGGAAGACAGCCCACTAAAGAAAGCTGGGGGGTGGGGGGCAAAGACCAAGCAGAGCTGCAGCTGCAAGTTGGAGTGAGTTGCAAAGTCCACATCCTGCCGTCTATAAAGGAAAGCTTTGGATGGTGTTTAATGCTCCATCTTCCACCTGTCCAATCAGAGGGGAGAAGAGCTGAGGGAGGTGGGAAGGTGTTGCATATCACAAATTCTGCAGTTTAATATAGTATACATTCAGTATCATAATAGACAAGAGTTGAAAGGAATATCAGAAATCATCATATTCCAAATGTAACCCCAAGCTTCAGTCCTTTTACATCTGTCCTGTACAATTGGTCATCTAGTTGCCTCTCGACCTCCAGTGAGAGGGAACTCATCCTCTGGGGCACTGCAGTCCCCTTTCAGACAGTTTTAATTGTTATGAACTTTTTCTTTTTTCTTCCAAAATCTTGTGTTTTATAACTTCTACCCATTGGACCTAGTTCTGCCCTTCAGGACCAAGCAGAACAAATGTCACCATGTAATTCCCCTTTCACAGGGAAACTTCAAATATTTGAAGACAGTTTATCATGCTTCTTCCCCTAATTCTTCCACTTCCTTTGATCAGTTTTTCCCTTCCTTAGGTTAAATATCCTCAATTGCTTCAACTGATCATAGCATGCGTGGTTCAAATCCCCTTAAATATTGGTCATTCTGGATACATTCCAACTTGTCAGTGTCTTTTATTAAAAAAAAAAAAAGGTTCTCAGAAATAATCAGAAGGGGTCTGACCAAGGTAGGAGACAGAACTACTTAATCTCTTGCTCTAGAAATGATACTTCTTGTTAACATAGCCCAAAATTGAATTAGGCTGCTATATCATACATGTAGTCATTGAATTTGTAGCTCAAGAAAAACCCCAGGTCTTTTGCACAAAATACTGCTTTTTAGAAAGATATTCCCCCCTTCTCCACCTATGTAATTTTTGCCTCAACAATGTAAAATTGGCATGAGAACAAAGTTTATTCTATTTATAGTCTGATCTGAGGCATTCTTAAATTGCCCTTGATTAGCTGTTTTTTGGTACCTTGTAATCTTTTTATTTTATTTTTTTAATTAATTAGCATTTATATCCTTACTCTCCTGTTCCCCCATTGTGGGGGAAAAACCCAACAACCTTGTAACAAATAGAGGCAAGCAAAACAAATCCCACATTAGCCATGCCCAAAAATGTATGCCTCATTTTTTCATCTTGAGTCTGTAACCTCTGTGTTAATCAAGTCAACAAGCATTTATCTTTTTTTATCATATATAATTTTAATTTTTTGTTACATTTGCATTCCAAGCTGTTTGTCTCCCTCCCAACCCCACACAAAAGAAAGTCGACATTTGACACAGGTGTATGTGCCGGCCGCGCCGTGCACTCTCCTCCTATAAGGAGCAGGCTGCCAGAGTCATACTTACCAGTCTTCAGAGCCTGCCCGGATAAACACACAGAGATGAGCTGACCAGGAGATGCCAACACCCGAGCTTTATTCAGAGGCCATCACAGGAAGGCCATAGCAAGAGAGCAGGAGCAAAGAGAGAGCGAGCTCCGACCACGACCCATTCCTTAAGTACCTACTTAGCCCCTCCTCCTCAGCCTGCCTACTAGTCAATGATTGTAGGATCAGATACCGGAAGGGGATGTCTGGGTTTAGCGCACCAAGGGAGAGGAAGTGACGCAGGAGGCTAGGACCGGATACAGGAAGGAGGCGTCTGGGATTAGTGCATAGACAAAGGGAGAGTACGTGACCTAGGAAGTCACGCTCAGATACCGGGAGGAGGCGTCTGGGGTCAGTGCTACACAAAGGGAAGGTACGTGACCCAGGAAGTCAGGAAGGACACAGGAAGGAGGTGTCTGGGGTTGACGTTGCACTTAGGGAGGGGACTAAGCAAAGGGAACTGGTCCTCTGCCGTCCCACTCCCACGTGGCACAGCCCCCTGCCTCAGGAGCACGTGCTCCGGCTACTTCCTTGTATTCTGTTCCTTCCCCAGCTTATCACAGCTCCACATAGCACTGCCCACTGCCTCAGGAGCGTGAGCTCCGGTTACTTCTCTGTATCCAGTTCCCATCCCAGTTCACCACAACTCCGCCTAGCACAGCCCCTGCCTTGGGAGCGTGAGCTCCGGTTACTTCCTAATATCTTGTTCCTACCCCATCTTGCCACAATCCTCACTTGGCAGTAGCCAACATCAGACAGTCCCTCACAGGTGTATATGTGAAACTATACAATACATAGTTCCATATATCAGTTTTTTCTCTGGAGGTGGATAGTATCTTCCTTCATAGGTCCTTTGTAATTGATGTGAATATTCACATAACTCAAAATAGCTTAGTCATTCACATTTACTCTTCAAACCATATTGCAGTCATTTATATGTAATGTTCTCTTGGTTCTGTCTGTTTCACACTTCATTATTTCATGCCATTTTTTCTATGTTTTCCTAAAATCAACTTGCTCATCATTTCTTACAACACAGTAATATTCCATCACAGTCATATACCACAACTTATTAATCCATTCCCAAGTTGATGGGCTTCCCCTCAATTTCCAGTTCCTTGCAACCACAAAGAGAACTGCTGTAAGTATTTTAGGACATATAAGTTCTTTTCCTTTTTCCCTGATCACCTTGGTTAGGCCATTGCCAGTCTCTTGACTTTTTGTCTTGCCACTGGATTTTTGATTACTGTGGAGGAGAGAGTGAAGCTAATGACTTTGTGCAGCCCTGCCTCTCTTAAATCCAGTTCACAAGCAAGTCAAGACCTTACCCTTGGGATGTCATTGATCCTCTTCAAGAACAAAGGACCAACAATAACAGCAAAAATCACCTTGGGAAATAGACCTAATAGTGGTATTGCTGGGTCAAAGAGTATACACAGTTTTATAATTCTTTGGGCTTATCTCCAGATTGCTCTCCAAAATGGTTGGATCAGTTCACAGTTCCACCAGCATTGTATTAGTGTACCAGTTTTTCCACATCCCTTTCAATATTTGTCATTTTCCCTTTCTATAGTTTAGCCAGTCTGATAAGTGTGCTATGGTATCTCAGAGTTGTTTTAATTTGCATTTCTTTAATCAGTAATGATTTAGAGCATTTTTTCATGTGACTATATATATCTTTGATTTCTTCCTCCAGTAACTACCTGTTTATATCCTTTGACCATTTATCAGTTGGGGAATGACTCATTCTTATAAATTTGGCAAAGTTCTCTACATATTTGAGAAATGAGGCCTTTATCCGAGAAACTGCCTATAAAACTTTTCCAATTTTCTGTTTTTCTTCTAATCTTGGCTACGTTGGTTGTACAAAAACTTTTTATTCAATGTAATCAAAATTATTCATTTTACATCTCAACAATGATCATATAGTTCCTAGGTTTATCTAGTCAGATATACCCCCAGGTATTTTATAATGTCTACATTTATTTTAAATGAACTATCTCTTATTATTTCTTGTTGCTGGGTTTTGTTGGTGATACATAGAAATGCTGATGATTTATGTGGGTTTATTTTATATTCTGCTATTTTGCTGAAATTATTGTTTCAACTAGCTTTTTAGTTGAATCTCTAGGATTTTCTAAGTATACCATCATAGCATCTGCAGAAGTAGTTTTATTACCTCATTGCCCATTTTGATTCCTTCAATTTCTTTTTCTTCTCTAAGCATTTCTAGTACAATATTGAATAATACTGGGGATAATGGCCATGCTTGTTTCGCTTCTGATCTTACTGGGAAGATTTCTAGCTTATTCCTGTAACAAACAATGCTTGCTGTTGGTTTTAGATAGATTCTTCTTATCATTTTAAGGAAAAATCTATTGATACCTATGCTTTCAAATGTTTTTAATAGGAATGAGTGTGTATTCTGCCAAAAGCTTTTTCTGCATCTGTTGATGTAATCATGTGATTTTGATTACTTTTGTTATTGATATAATCAATTATGTTAATTAATATTCCTTACATTAAACCAGCCTTGCATTCCTGATATAAATCCCACGCGGTCATAATGTATAATCTTTGTCATAATGATTAGCTTCTTAAAAGTAAAAGAGGAGGTAAAAATTTGGCCTCCCCAAAAGAGATAATAGCTAATTTAGCTAACATTGATATATCACTTAGTATGTTCCAGGCATTGTGCTATGCCAGGGGTGGAACCCCTGCTGCCTTGAGGCCACACGTAGTGTCAAATCAAGGGATTTTTTCTGTGAAGTTTGGGTTAGTGAAAGGGCCGCACTTCAGGACCTAGAGGGCCACATGTGGCCTTGAGGCCACAGGTTCCCCACCCCTGTGCTATGTACTTTACAGATATCTTATTTGATCTCACTGACTTGAGAAAATGTATATCCTTCTCTTCTTTTCAGAGTTTTGGGGTGCTGTAGATATGGAACACTTAACATGTTATCAGGTTTAGTTGATGTGTTGGTTAGGTTTGCTAAATCGCTAATTTCTTCTCTTTGTTAAAAGGGATGGCTCACTGGCTAGGGGAGGCATACATTCAGGAATACAGGTGATAACACTAAAAGTTATGGTTTTGAAAGGGGCAGGTGAAATAACCAAATAATTCTGATTATTTTGTTGATCATACATTGAGAGAGGTTTTCTTGGTATCAAGTCTCTACTTTTATATAATTTCCTTCACTTTGCTGGAAATATAATAATCTCAGCCCCTTTTATAAATTATATCTTTCTTCCATGACATTTAATTTTCACCTCACCAACTCTGAACAGATTTTTATTTGCCACAATACTCCTCTCATTTTAATTGCAGCCCAAATATTATGTCCTTTTAAATAGAAATCTTTAGCAGAATTTTGTGTGGTTTTGATCTTTACAAAAGGTATAGACCAAAAGGCTTTAGAGGCCACTGACGTTGCAGTAGATAGAGCACTGGGCCTGGAGTAAGGAGGATCTGAGTTAAAATCCAGTCTCAGATACTTACTGACTCTGTGACCCTAGGCAAGTCATTTTACCTGTGTCTGACTCGTTTTCCTCAATTAGAAATGTGGATAGTAATACCTACCTTCCAGGATTATTGTAAGAATCAAATGAGATATTTATAAAATACTTAAGACAGTGCCTGACACATACTAGGTGCTTCATAAATGCTCATGTCCTTCCTTTTTTCTTTTCTATATGACATCATAGGTCTGGTCCCTCAGTTGACTCCACTCTTTCTAAGATGACTTTTATTTTGGTGCCTTTGTCTCTCTTTCAGTGTTGAAAAGCATTTTCAGTTTTGCTGTATGTTACATATCCCACTTTATGTGGAAAATCTCATCTGAAAACAATATAAACTTTTCTGAAATTTTCATCTCATGTTCCCTTCAGGGCTTCCCCTCAGTTTACCACAACACCCATCTCACATCCCTTACAGCCCAAGCATATATCATATCTTGTCTTTTTTTTTTTTCTTGCATGATATCCTAGCATATTTTAAAGTCTCAGAAAGAAAGCTGAGAAGGCGGGAAGGAAGGTCTAGTTAAGAGGACCAACCAACTTACCTCATTTTTGTAAGCCGTGATCTACTACTACTACTACTACTGCCAGCAAACTGACTCAGTTTCTTTAGTCTTAGCTCAACGACTCCAACTTCCAATTAGAAAAAGTAATCTAGAGGAAAGTACCTGACAGTATACTAGGAAGCTTAGGTTTAGTCCCTGCTCTGCCTCTGACTGGATATGACTTTTGATAAGATAATTCATTTTTCTTAATAAGATATGCAATTTTGTGATTTCTATTATCAGTTTGAATGCATGAGCCAGTCTTTGACTAGAAATGACAATTATATGTAGGAAAAGATTACTAGTTTTTTAGAATATGTTTTATGAAGCCAAGACATTTTGTAACCTTTTATTTATTCGTTCTATAATTTATTTATGAGTAGTTAGTACTCCTCCAGTATGAGGGCTCTGGCTTTACTTAGACCATAGTATTTGCCCAAGTTACATAGTAAAGCCATTATTGTCTCAACTTTCTGCAGCTGTAGAAAATTTTAGTGTGAATCAGCTAAGGGAGATGGGGAATGTTATATGGCATAATATTTCCTTCCAGGATGCATTGCATTCCATACATGGTATGTTTGGTTTAGGATTAGGACTTCATGTAATTTAAGGAAATGCCTATTTTGTACCACTATACTTTCTCACTTGTCCCAGAAGCTAAAAGTTTTGAGCTTTGGGGTTTTGTGAAGACTCTTTTACAAGATGTTTTGTAGCTAATTAGCAGGTTATATGAAATACAGTCTGTTCTCAAACATCCATGATGATTAAAGGAAACAGTGGTTCCAATTATTTTTAAAAAATCTATAATCTCCAAATCATATTGTTCCCTCTTTTCTTCCTCATTGAGTAATTTGCTATTCTGTTGTCAGAATTTTCTTCTGGACAGGTTCCCATTCTTCTCGATCAATCTTCTAGCCAATTCTAGGAGCCTGTGAACTGCCATAGTATCATATGCATCTGTCTTCTAGTCTTTTTGCAATCTGTTCTCCAAAAGTCATGGATGTGTCTGATCATGCCAGGTATTCCCTTCTTCACTACCACAAATATACTTTATCCCAAAGCTTCTGTTGCTTCTGTTTCTTCTACTAAGTCTTCTTGCTGGTTAGACTTAAGCCCAAAATTAACAGTTCTCCTGAGTTGCTTCCTCTGACTTGTGAGAGATGGCTAATTCCAAATGTTTCCTATATTTCCCTGTTATTGATTTAAAAATGCATAATGAAAAAATTAAGATTAAAGTCATTTTGGTACAAGAAGCTATAAGACTAGAGTTAGAATTTTATATGCAATGTGTAATTAAAACTTGTTGGCACTGGAAATTTCCTTTTATTATCTGCGTAAGTTAAGTGCAGACAAGTTTCTGGTTACAACTTTACCTTTTGCTTATTCCTGCCTAGAAGGATTTAGGAAGCTGGAAACTGGACTAGATTCCTGGGTAAAAGAACGAAACTGCTTTCCCCTCTCTTCTTCTCCCAGAGAAATGATGTTTGCTGTCTTCTGTTTTTGTTTACAGGTATAAACGGGAACTAAGAGCCAAGGAAAATTTGTAAAGGACTCTTGATCTGCTGAACAAATCCAGAAGCAGTTATTACCACCAAAGGGACCTAGTTTGATTCATTTTATTATTTGGTTTTCAAAAAGATAATGCTAACAATGTTAATGTTCTGCAGATGGGACTGTAACTGTAGCCATTATACAGTACCTTGACTGAACTGAAAATAAAACACACTTTTAGTAATGTTTCATCTTGATGTTTGTATAATTCAGTAAGGGGCTCACCGATGACCAAATTTCTGTCCACTCTACATATGGCCAGTCACATTTGCCTCTTGATTGTTGGGCTGCCCTTGTGGAACACATTCCATTAATCAACTAGGGGATAGACTTATTTGTCTAAGAGCAGCTATTTGATGAGACAGGGGGAGATTGGAGAGTAAGATGTATCTGGAGAATGGTGAGTTTTCAGCAAAAACAACCACATAATGTCAATTAATATATTTTGACTTTGAATGAAATGGAAGCACTTTGAAGTAACTTACTTAAAGAAGTGAAATAACTTTTTGTCTATCTTTATAAAAGTCACTAAATGTCCACAGAATGACATTTATGGGACACAATAATTCTTTCATCTTGAGAAATAGAAAAAGTATGAGCATGGGTTACCCAGAACTAAAGGTAATTGACAAAGTATTTAATTTGAATGAATTAAGCACTTATATTCAAGAGGGAGACGGAGAGGTGTTAAGTCCTGAGAATACAAATAGGAAAGTAAAACAGTCCCTACTTTTAAGAAACTCATATTCTAATGGGGGTGAGGACAGAGGTGGAAGATTTCACCTGCAAGTCAGTTGCAAAGGTCTCATGGTCCTTAAGTTGCACTGCCAAAGCAGATGGGGATGCCTCTTTATCATTTCCACTGATAAAATCCTATCAGTTTCTGATGTTGAACCATTTGCCATTGCCAAAGACTGGTGGTAAGAACCTTCCTTGTATGAGGGAATAACTGGTGGGTTGCCCCCAAAGTGACATTAGCTGGGGCCAGGAAATCCAGGTACCAGTGCACAATTGCTACCCCAGAGACATAATGGGCTGCCTCATGAGGTACCACCTGTGCCCACTGAGGCAGAAGTTGCTTGTCATGCGGTATTACTATACTGCCACGGTGAGCACTTTGAGCAAGGGCAATGAAATCCCCATGAAGTTCTGGCGTGTAGGCCTGGCACTGGAAGGGATACTCACCCACTCAACCTTCCTGCTCTGCTGATGGTCACTGCCCAAAACCTTAAATGTCTCTGCGTAAGCATCCAGAAACTTGATAAAGAAGTTGGCCCAGGTCTGGTGGTACTATCCCCTGGTTCTCGATTGAACTTTCCCCATTCACTGCCCCATTGGTCTTGAGCCAGGTAGGTGATGTCCAAGAGCTGGCAAAGAATGAGACAGTGCGTTGAACTGGAGGAATCTTGAGGTCGATGTCCTCTTCAGAGAGACTAAAATCGTTCAACCGGATGTCGCAGGGTTTTCAGCACTGGTGTAGATACGGTTGGAGACGTCCCAGCGGGCCATGGGCACTGGGATGATGTCATATGTAAGACTGAAGGAGTAAGCCCTGGACAGGACGTGACAGTGAGGTAACGCAGAAGGCAGCCGCATCAGTCACGCACCCCCAAAGCCTTCCATCTTCTGGAACTGTGGCGTTAGCAGCAAGCCCGGTGCCTGTCCAGCTGCTCTGGATGCTCTGCGAGCTCTCCGAGCGCTCTCCTAGCGGCTGCAGGTACCGCTGGGAAGAAGCGTCGGGGGGTCGGGGGAGTCACCTGGGGGGCACAGTGGCTGGCGGCTGACGCTCGGGACACCGCGCAGAGCACAAGGCGCCATCGTGGTCACCTTGCCCAGGTCCTGGGATGCTCCTCTCTCTGGGCCTTCGGAGGGTGCCCGGCTCTGGCTCCCGCTGCAGTAGCGAGAGCGAGAAAACTGCAGGCGAGCCGGCTGGGCGCCAGCTGGTGGAGGGGAGTCACGTGGCGCGCTCGGTCGCGATCACGTGACGGTGTCCGAGGCGGCCGCGGCCATCTTTGTGCCGGGCGCATTCCTGTAGCCCGAGGGATGGAACCGGACTCCATTGACAGGTGAGCACAGAACCAAGAAATACAGTAAAGGACCGTCATAGGAACAAAAAAATAAAATCAAAATGAGACAAAAAGCAACGCCAAACTCCACAACCTATTTAGGTCTGCAACATTAGATAAGTGTGAAGGATCCAACCATTGATAAGAGGAATGAAGACCCCCACCTAATGATACAAGTGTCCCCGGAACCTCTGGGGGGACCCTCTCCTCATTGGTGGAAACCAGACCTTCGTGGGGGCGGGGTTGGCCCTGGCCCCTCCCACTTAAGGCTGTATACCGAAGTTTACCTGGAGTTGTTGAGTTGTTTTCAGCCTGTCCCTGGACTCTTGGTGACCCCGTTTGGGGTTTTCTTGGCAAAGATACTGGTTTGCTGTTTCCTTCTCCAGCTCATTTTGCAGATGAAGAAACTGAGGCAAACAGGGTAAAGTGACTTGCCCAGGGCCTCCCAGCTAGTAAGTGTCTGAGGCCAGATTTGAACTCAAGTCCTACTGACTCTATCCATTGTGCCACCTATGATGTTCAATATTACCATCCTTTACTAGTTTCCATACAGTCCGTTCCCCTCCTGGATCACTGCATTGTCATGGCGTAGGGGCTAGCCAATGAAACTACGATCTACGCCATGCATTGTTACCCAAGTCAGAAAGGTCACAGTGGAGAGTTGTGATGAAGGATGAAGCAACAGTGTTTCACAGGTAAACACACAGGTAACACCATTTGTTGGGCAGGAGAACACAGGTGGGCTCATAACACTAGCAGGTGTTCTAGCACAGGATCACTTTTGATCTGGTCAGATGGGAAGATAGCTTCAGAGGCGTTAAGTAAGCTTACTTTTTCCTAGTCTAGAGCCTTCGCAGAACGGTTGCTGATAATGGGAGCTCCAACTCCTACAGCCTTTCCCTAATCATGCTACATAGTCTCAGCAGGTGAGATTAGCAGGAGCTGTTACAACTCCTGCCGGTCCCCCAGTCCTCAATGGGGGCTGACTGAGGCAAGTACAAGATTCCCCCAAACCTTAATGGGGGCCGATCAAGGCAGGGCAGGTACATGCGTTCCTCTATGCATTACCCAAACCCCAGAATGGGTTCCTCACTGACCAGTGCCCACTTGATTTATAGGGCAACAGACAAAGAAGGCATCTTGCCAACATGAAGCTCACAGGTTAACTTTAGCAATAGCGGCATGACCTAGCACAGTGCCCACGGAGTGACCATTACATTATATCACCCCTCTATCTCTACTGCAACTGCTCAGTAGAAGTTGTTTTCAACCATAATTTGTGGGAAATATTATCTAAAAAAAAGGAATAACAAAGTCCTCCTTACACACACTAAAATCCACCTTACTTACAAACAGTTAGAACTGAGCTTGGAATAACTGATTGGTTTAAGATTGAGAAAGGAGTACAGGGGCAGCTAGGTGGCACAGTGGATAGAACTCCGGCCCTGAAGTCAGGAGGACCTGAATTCAAATCCAGCCTCAGACCTGACACTTATTAGCTGTGTGACCCTCGGCAAGTCACTTAACCCCAATTGCCTCATAAAAATAAAGGAGAAAGGAGTACAACAAGGCTGTATACTGTCACTTTATTTAACTTCCATGCAAAGTACTTCCATGCAAAATACCAGGCTGGACGAATCAAAAGCCAGAATTAAGATTGCTGGGACAAATATCAACAATTTCAGATATGCAGATGATACCACTCCTTCGGAGCAGGAACTGTTTTTTGTTTTGTTTTTTTGGCAGTTGGGGTTAAGTGACTTGCCCCGGGGTCACACAGCTAGTAAGTGTCAAGTGTTTGGTTTGAGGCTGGATTTGAACTTAGGTTCTCCTGACTCCCAGGGGAGTGCTCTATCCCGTTGGCCACCTAGCTGCCCCAGGGCAGGGACTGTCTTTCACCCCTTTTTGTTTCCCCAGAGCTTACTTAGCACAGTGCCTGGCAAATAGTAGGCTCCTAATAAATGTTGGTTGATAGCTGAATTTATTTGACATAGTTTCTCTGCTATGCTTATAGACAAGATGGAAAGATAATGGGCTGGTGGGCTTTTGATCAAAAGCAGTCATTAATATAACTGCGTCTACTTAGAGGAAAGCCTCAAGCTTTTCCAGGGATCTGACAATGGCCTTATGCTATTCGTAATTCTTAGCAATCACTTAGATGAAGGTCTAGATGTCACTTAATAAATCCAAAAATTAATAAAAGCTAGAGGAGATCATAGTCAGTCAGTCAATAAATATTAAGTACCTATTACGTCCCATGCTAATGTATGCTGGATGAAAAGGTCAGAATAAAAATCTAATGCCCTTTTCTCAGTCCTCATCCCCCGACCTCTTAGCAGCATGTGAAGTTTTTGGCCTCCTCTCTTCCCTGGATACTCTTTCCTCATTAGGTTTTTATACTACTACTCTTTCTTATCTTCTTACTGGAAGGAAAGGAGAGAAGGAAGGAAAGGGGGGAGAAGATGGGAGGGAAGAAGGAAGGGACAATGGAAAGAAGGGAAGAAGAGAGAAGGGGAGGGGAGGAAGGAAAGAGAAAGGGAGGGAGGGAGAGAGGAAAGGATGAAAGGAAGAAGAAAGGGAAGAATAAATAACCATTTATTAAATGCTTACTATGTGCCAGGCACTGTGCTAATTTCTGAAGATACAAATACAAGCAAAAAGAAAGACAGCCCCTGCCTTCCAGGAGCTTACATTCTAATGGGTGCAGAAAACACACAAAAGGGAGATGAAAGATGGACAGGAAGGGGAGGAATGTACTTGGCAATGGCAGTGTGGAGGCATGGTTTTGAAGTCCAGAAAATCAGAAAGAGGACCAGGAGGGGAATGAAGGCAGGCTTATACCCCTCCACAAAATGGAGGCTCCCAGAGCCCCTCTGGAGTCTACAGGACCTACTCCCCGCCACCACCACCAATGGGAGGGGGAGAGTGAGCAGGTCTTACAAAGGAAGGGTGAGTTCTCCAAGCTCTCTCTCAGATACGGTGAGGCTCTGCCCAAAAAAGATTTCACATAATGTCTGTTGTTACATTGAATGAGACAAAGATATCTTAAAATGCAATCTAGGTTAACATTCCAAAATTGAACAACTGTATCTCTATCCCCTTCTTCCAGTTCAGCTCCCCCGTAGGAATCAATAGATTTCCTCTCCAGGGTTTCTATCAGGGATCCATACTGATTAGGAGGAGGTTTGAGTGCCTTCTGAGACATTGAGTTCAACCCCCTCATTTCACTGATGAGAAGACTGAGGAACAACTAAGGAGCAGAGAAGCTAAGCCATATGGGGCAGGAATCATAACCTAAAACAGGATCAGACTTAGCAAGATCCATGGACCCAAGGAAGGGAATGGCCTGGGGCGGGGGCGGGGGTGGGGGTGGGGGAACAGAAAAGAATAGCGTGTGAGCAGCCAATCAGATGCAAGTCTGGCGAGCAGTGTGGGCGGGGCCTGTAAAACTGCCATTTGGTAGGGGCCACTCCTGAAGATGGACGTGGTACTTGGGCTATTTTCAGAGTAACTTGGACCAGGCCCTGGCCTGTTTGCCGAGCTCCTTAAGGGTTTGGGGCCCTACTGTCTTTCAGTTTCGCCTCTGTGTGGTTTTGTCTGTTTGCTTTTCAGCTGCTGATGGGGCCCGGAGGTAGGTGAGAAGGGGTGGATGTGGGACTCTCAGCAGAAAGGGTTGTTTGTGGCAGCCACCGTTAAGGGCCATCCTTGGGTCAGGAGGATTAGGGAGAATCCTTGAGCCAGCTTCTTCTTATCCTTTCTAATGAGAGCAGGAGTCTCGGAGACTACAGGTTCTCTTGACTTCCCCCTTCTTGGGAGCTACATCATTCTCATATAGAGTTCCTTGGATAAAAAGGGAGGAAATAAGCATTTATTGAGCACCTACTGTGTGCCAGGTGCTGAGCTAAGCACTTTATCAACATTATCTCATTTGATCCTCGCAGCAATCCTGGGAGGTAGGTGTCATCATTATCCCCATTTTCAAGGTGAAGAAAGAAACTGAGCCTGACAGACGTTAAGTGACTTGCCTGGAGTCACATAGGTAGTGTCTGAGGCTGAATTTGAAACTCAGGTTTTCCTGAACCTATCCCCCTCCATTCTTCTAATTAGCATATTGCCTCCAACAACATCTCTTCCTCCCAGTCTTTAATCTCTACCTTTCATCAACTCCTTCCCCCACTACCTACAAATGCATCCTTAAAAAAAAAAACCTCTCACATCTCCTCAAACTCTCAATCCATATGACTACTATCTTTCACAATTAAAATCTTAGAAAACACTGCCTACTCTCATTATCTCCTCTACCTCTGCTCTTGCAATCTGGCTTCTGACCTTGTCTCCCAATTGAAAGTGATCTCTCCACTTACCAGTGTTTTCTTAATTGCCAGATCTGATCACCTTATCTCAGTTTTCATCCTTCTTGACTTCTTTTACCGAAGTTGACAATGGTGAATTCAGTCTCTCCTCTCTAGGTTTTTGTGACATTGCTCTGTGGGTTTTCTCATCAAAACTGGAATTATTTCCAGCTTTCTCTTCAAGATATCTGGCTCCTCCGTAAGCAGCCAGCGCTGTGAAGATTTAATATGGAATAGGTTTATTAAAATGCTGATAAAGAACAGGGAAAGGACTCATCTCAGCCTCCTTATGTAATGTTATATACCATCCCTAGGTGAATGTCATTCAAGCTTCTGCCTCAGGTACTGCTATCCTGGGTCCTGGTGCCAGTCGAAAGGCAGCTCTCTTCCGTATACAAGCACATACTCATTTCTACACAAATATCCTTCCTATACATTTAACTGTATTGTTGTTCAGTTGTTTCAGTTGTGTCCAATTCTTCATGACCCCATTTGGAGTTTTCTTGGCAAAGATACTAGAGTGGCTTGCCATTTCCTTCTCTAGCCCATTTTACAGATGAGGAGACTGAGGCAAACAGGGTGAAGTGACTAGCCCAGGGTCACACAGCCAGTAAGTATCTGAGGCCAGATTTCAACTCAGGAAGATGAGTCTTCCTGACTTCAGGCCCAGAACTCTGTTGTTCACTGCTGCCACCTTCTTTTAGGGTATCTGGGCTTCCTTTGTTGTGTCAGTCTTCTAACTTTCCCCCACCTCCCGGTTGTCGCCTTTCAGCTTGGCCCCTCATCTCCTGTCTAGGCTCTGAAGCTCTTCACAATTTGACTCGCAGCTGCCTTAACACTCCGATTCCTTCTTGCTCCTGGCCCTTCTGGCAGCCCCTACTTAGAGCTTGCTTGTACACGTATGCCCTAGGGTTTTTCTTCCATGCTATTAGGTGAAAGGTCAACTCTCCTCAGAATTACTTGGATTATTTTGCATATATTATCTCTTTGCTTTATGTTTACTGTATTTAAACCACACACACACACACACACACACACATCGATAAAACTATCATGTATAAACAACCTTCAAAAATATGGAGCCAGGAAAGGGAGGAGGGGAAATGTGGTTCACAAAAATTAAGGGAATGTAATTAAGATGTAAAGGAGCAAAACAGGAGGAAAATGCAGAATTTGTCAGGATGAAAGGAAAAACGAAATCCATAGGAAAGTACAGCTTGTAAGGAAAAATGTAATGAAGGTGACCCACCTTCCACAGAATGTGCGCTTTGAGTTGTTTCTTCAGTAAAGAGGATGCTTCCCTTAACAAACCAGTAGCACTGACCAGCCACTTTTCAGGATTAAAGGGTAGTTTGTTACTGTGAGAATAGAATCTTTTTCTATTTAAAGTAAATGGGCCCCCCATTGGAAGGTTGAACCCTGCAAACTAGGTCTGCTATTTAGTACTGTGATAATCATTCTAGATACAAGAAAGATGAAAGGAAATTAATTTTTAAAAAAAAAGGAGTGAATGTGGGTTAAAATTCAGAAGCTTCTGTCATACCCTCCCCCATCCTTATAATACTGCAATCTATAAACTTTTCCCTCTGACTACAGAGCCCTGAAAATTTTCCTCAGAGATGAATATTGTAAAAGCATCCTTGCCGGATAGGACCATTGTCAGAATAGCTGCTCACTTACCAGACCTCATTGTCTATGGAGATTTTACCCCAGAGCGTCCCTCCATGGAATATTTTGATGGAATCCTCATGTTTGTGGATATTTCAGGCAAGTACAAAAGAGACTTTTAACAGTGGAAAGAGGCAAGCCCATATTGTAATATGCCTGCTAAACTGAGGCGGGGGGGGGGGGGGGAGGGGAGGCTAGGGAATAAAAAATATTGGTATTTCAGGTTCATAATGGTGAATATTCCAAAGTTAAAAATAAGGTATGATCGGGGCACTTTCCCCCTTTCCTTCAACACCTTTAACAAAATTATGAAGTTGGAAAAGTTGACTTCACACCTGAAGCCTCTCTTCTATGCCCTTTAGCCCCCTCCCTGGGATGCTCTTCTCCCTTCTTTGCTTTTGGATGACCAGTGCCTTTGCCTTATTAAAACCTGCTTCCCAGGAGAGGATTTAATATTAGTAATTTACACTAAAGTGTGAATCTGTCAAGGTGCCCTCATCTCTAATGAAGAATAAAAGTCTGCCCACTAATCAGTAATTTCAGGGACCATTGAGTAAATAGGAGAAACTATTTGGAGGGGCAGGGTAAGGGGACAGAAGAGATCTTCTGGGAACCACCTCAAATCAAGGAGATATGAGATTGCTTCCTCCTTGTCACAAGCCATTAAAAAAAAAAAAAAAAGAACAGCTGGGTCCTGCTGCTTCCCAATTTAGGCTTCTTCTTCTGACTCCTTTCTGACTCTTCCCAGAATCCAAATGAGTTCCTTGTACCTGTGCCCCAGGTTTCACAGCAATGACTGAGAAGTTCAGTACAGCCATGTACATGGACCGTGGGGCTGAACAGCTGGTGGATATTCTCAATCGACACATAAGCGTCATCGTGGAAAGTAAGTAGGAGAGCCGGGCTTTGGCTTCAAAACTTGCTGCCTCATTACTCTTCCTTCGTTGGGGGATTATAACTGAGAGGAGAGCCATACTAGGCGCTTTCATGTTGACCCTTTCTGTTTTCTCTTAGCCTCTCCAGAGAGCATCACTAGGATGTATTTAGGGAACAGGTATTTATCTTGCTGGGGTTTGGGGGTGGGATGAGGAGCTAGATCACATAGTGAATCATATATATCTGGGAATATAGTCAAATTTCACTATTTCGTACTAATTGAGGGGAAGACCTGTTTGAATTGGTGAAAGGCCTAAAGCACAATATTATTTCCAAAAGGAATGCACTTTTAATATTGAAATTAGCTATTGTTTCATTCTTCATAGGCCCTGACAGGTAGTAGGTGCTTAATGAAAGTCTGTTCATTACCTGACTGATCAAAGCAATAACTCAAAAGAGATCAATAAAATAGTATCAAACAATTGTAATGGAACAGTAAGAATGGTTTCAAGGGAATTGGCTCTCTGTCTTGTTATCCTACTTCCCTACACTATGTCCATGTCCTGTTCCCTTCATTCTGCAATAAAAGGAAAGAGCTTTTTGGTTTGTCTCATAATGCTTTTGTTTTTTGTTTTTTAAAGAAATCAGTATGTGATTTCCCCTCTTCTTTTCTCAGAGGTGCTGATTTTTGGAGGAGACATCTTAAAGTTTGCAGGTACCGGCTTTACTGATCTGGGAGGGGGAGGGGGTAAGAAAGCTTCGCAGACGTCCTTACGCCCTAAATAGGATTGTTGTTGTTTGTTATTTGTCCTTCGTTCTCAAAGGGACTCACAAAAAGAGGAGCAGCAAGGGACAGATATAAAGTCAATCTGAAGAGTTTTATGCATACGAAGTTCCCTATAGAAATACCCAAGTGAGCTGGTCCCTAAGGGAAAACCAAAAGTGTAACCCTTTTCTATCCCACTCTGTGCGTCACTTAAAGGGGATGCGTTGCTAGCCTTGTGGAAGGTTGAAAGAAAGCTGCTGAAGAACTTTATCACCGTGGTGGTTAAATGCAGTCTAGAAATCCATGGAGTGTTTGAGAATCAAGAGTCGGAAGAAGGTCTGGATATCCGAGTCAAGATTGGTAAGTAGCTGAAAGAAAACGTATGTGTGGTCATGTCACTGTTCATTCATTCGTTTTTTCAAAAAGAAAATTATTAAGACCTTTGTATGTATGGAGTACAACTATTCTCACTAAACAAATATGCCCCCTGAAGGGGGTACAAAGATAAATAAGACATCCTTTCTTCTAGAAGGACTTAAAATCAAGCAGAGGTGATAAGACACCCAAATAAATGCAGTACAAATTATGATTTGGGCATAAGAGGAATAAAAGTGCCAGGAAATTAGATAAGGGGAGACATCGATCTTATTGTTATTAGTAATGATAATCCCATCTCATGTTTCCACAGGGCCTTAAGTTTCCAAAGCATTTTCTTCATAACAACCCTGTGAAGTAGGTTGTACAAAACATTTAAAAATTTTCAGAATGCTTTACGTAGGGCAGCTATGTGGCGCAGTGGATAGAGCACCGGCCTCGGACCAAACACTTGACACTTACTGGTTGTGTGGCTCTGGATAAGTCATTTAACCCCAATTGCCTTAAAAAAAAAAATGCCTGTATAGAATCAGAGAAAATTCTCACCCCAGAATGCTTTACATCTCATTTAAATCTCCCAGTGGCCCAGTAGGGTATTACAGGTATACATCACAAGTGTCAGAGACAGATTTTGAGCTGAAATCTGTTTTTTTGTTTTGGAGGCAATGGGGTTAAGTGACTAGTAAGTGCCTGAGGCCAGATTTGAACCCAGGACCTCCTGACTCTAGGGCCTGTGCTTTATCCACTGCACGACCTAGCTCCCCTGAGCTCAAGTCTTTCTGATTCCATGTCTGGCATTCTGTTTGCTCTGCTATTATCTCCATTTTACAGATGAGGAAAATAAGCCACAATGAAGTTGAGCTATTTGCAGAGTCCCACAGTCAACCGGTATTTATTAAGTACCTACTGTATGCCAGACACTATGGAAACAATTTTTATTAAAGTATTTTATTTTTATTTTCCCCAATAACATGTAAGAACAATTTTTAACATTTGCTTTTAAAACTTTTGAGTTCCAAATTCTCTCCCTTTCTCCCTTCCCACCCTCCCTCATTGAGAGGGCAAGCAATTCGATGTAGGTTATACATGTGTCATCATACAAAACATATCTGTAATAGTCATGTTGTGAAAGAAATTATAGACAAAAAAACTCAAGAAAAGTAAAGAAAGTAAAAAAAGTTCTTTCTCTAGGGATGGATAGCATTCTTCATCATAAGTCCTTCAAGGTTGCCTTGAATCGTTGTATTGCTGAGAATAGCTAAGTCATTCACAGCTTATCATCCTATAATGTTGCTGTTACTTTGTACACACCACATTTCACTTTGCATCAGTCCATGCAAGTCTTTTCAGGTTTTTCTGAGAACATCCTGCTCATCATTTCTTATAGTACAATAGTATTCCATCATAATCACATTCCACAACCTATTCAGCCATTCCCCAATTGATGGGTATACTTTTTCAACTTCTAATTCTTTACCCCCAGAAAAGAGCTGCTATAAATATTTTTGTCTGTATAGGTCCTTTTCCTTTTTTGCTTTTTATCTCTTTCGGGATACAGACCTAGTAGTGGTACTGCTAGGTCAAAGGGTATACGTGGTTTTATAGCCCTTTGGGCATAGTTCCAAATTGCTCTCCAGAATGGTTGAATCAGTTCACAACTCCACCAACAATGCATTAAAATCTCATTTTTCCCACATTCCCTCCAACATTTGTTGTTTACCTTTTTTGTCCTATTAGCTAGTCTAATAGGTATGAGGTAGTACCTCAGAATTGTTTTAATTTGTATTTCTTCTGTCAGTAATGAGTTAGAGTAGTTCTTCATGTGGCTATAGATAGCTTTGATTACTTCATCTGAAAACTGGTCATATCTTTTAATCATTTATCAATTGGAGAATGGCTTATTTTTACAAATTTGACTCAGTTTTCTATATGTTTGAGAAATGAGGCCTTTGTCAGAGAAACCTGCTCCAAAATTTTTTTCACAGTTACTATTGCTAACTGTATTTCCCTCCATCCTATCCCCTCATGTCTGTTTATTCTATTCTCTCTCTCCTTTCACACTGTCCCTCCTCAAAAGGTGTTCTCACTAACCCCTCCCATCCCTCAATATGCCCTACCTTCTATCACCCCTTCCCTTCTCTCATCCCCTTCCCCTCCTACTTTCCTGTAGGGTAAGATAGATTTCCATACCCAATTGAGTATGTGTGTTATTCCCTCTTTGAACCAACTCTGATGAGAGTTCACTCACTCCCCCTCACCTCTCCCCTCTTTCCCTCCATTGTAAAGCTTTGTCTTGCCTCTTTTATGTGAGATAATTTATCCCATTCCACCCCTCCCTTTCTCTTTCTCCCAGTACATTCTTCTCTCACCCCTTAATTTTATTTTTTTAGATATCATACCTTCATATTCAATTCATACCTGTGCCCTCTCTCTATATATACTCCTTCTAACTGCCCTAATAATACAAAAGTTCTTATGAGTTACAAATATCATCTTCCCATGTAGGAATGCAAACAGTTTAATTTTATTCAGCCCCTTATGATTTCCCTCTCCTGTTTACCTTTTTATTCTTCCCTTGAGTCTTGTATTTGAAAGTCAGATTTTCTATTCAGCTCTGGTCTTTTCATCAAGAATGCTTGAAAGTCCTCTAATTCATTGAATGTCCATTTTTCCCCTGAAGGATTATATTCAGTTTTGCTAGGGAGATGATTCTTGGTTGCAATACTATCTCCTTTGTCCTCCAGAATATCATATTCCAAGCCCTCTTGTCCTTTAATGTAGAAGCTGCTAAATCTTGTGTTATCCTGACTGTGGCTCCACCATACTTGAATTGTTTCTTTCTGGCTGCTTGTGGTATTTTCTCCCTGACCTGGGAACTCTGGAATTTGGCTATAATATTCCTGACAGTTTTCATTTTAGGATCTCTTTCAGGAGGTGTTCAGTGGACTCTTTCAATTTCTATTTTGCCCTCTGGTTCTAGAATATCAGGGCAGTTTTCCCTGATAATTTCTTGAAAGATGATATCTAGGCTCTTTTTTTGGCTTTCAGGTAATCCAATAATTTTTAAATTATTTCTCCTGAATCTATTTTCCAGGTCAGTTGTTTTTCCAATGAGATATTTCACATTGTCTTCTATTTTTTTTCCATTCTTTTGGTTTTGTCTTATTGTTTCTTGATTTCTCATAAAGTCATTAGCTTCCGTTTGTTCCATTCTAATTTTTAAGAGATGATTTTCTTCAGTGAGCTTTTAGACCTCCTTTTCCATTTGGCCAGTTTTGCTTTTTAAGGCATTCTTCTCCTCATTGGCTTTTTGGACCTCTTTTACCATTTGGCCTAGTCTGTTTTTAAGGTGTTATTTTCTTCAGCATTTTTTTGTGTGTGTCTTTTTTACTAAGCTGTTGACTTGTTTTTCATGATTTTCTTGCACCACTCTCATTTCTCTTCCCAGTTTTTCCTCTTCCTCTCTTGCTTTGTATTCAAAGTCCTTTTTGAGCTCTTCCATGGCCTGAGACCAATTCATACTTTTCTTGGAGGCTTTGGATGTAGGAGTTTTGACTTTGTTTTCTTGGTTGTTGCCTGCTCCTGGTTTGCTAGGGCCAGGGCTGTGCTGGTGTGGCCTGTGCTGGACTCCACTCTCACCCAGGTGGGACAGATCTTTTCTGCTGACCTTCTAAGTTGTCTTTGGTATCTGTGGGCTAAGAGGTCTGAAAACCACCACTGCTGCCAGAAATTCAGTCCCCCTGAGTGTGTGTTTTAATCTTCCTTGTCACCATAGTAACTTTCTATAGTCAGAGTTTTTTCCCGTTTGCTCATTTCCCCAGCCTATTACTTGACTTTTAACTCTTTGTTAAAAAATAGGGCTTTGCTTCTAGGGTGGAGGGTGCACTGTCCCAAACCTTAGAGTTTTTGTGCAGCTGTTTTTTTTTTGAGGGAGAACATGAATGATATGAACCTATTCACACTCAATAATCAATCCATCAGTAAAGATTTATTAAGTGTGTACTATGTGCCAGGCACTGTGCTAAGCATTAGGGATACAAAAAGAGGCAAAAGACAGTCGCTGCCCTCAGGGAGCTTACATCAGATGAGCTCAAGCTTCATCTCTAAGCTCCAGGTCTATATGGGCCTTTTTCTGACTCATTATCCCCCAAATCCCTGTTGCCCTAACAAATCACCACCCAATGTTCTTTTCCCATGTGAAGACTTCTGTGGGCTTAGAACTATAACAACTCTGTCAGAGTTTGTCATCACTGGTTCTAGATGCTGGAATCATTCAGTGTGTTCACTGACTGGGTACATGGACTGGGGTACATGCTTCTTCATACTGCCATGCTTCTCACCACACAGTTCCCAAACTGTGGTTCACCCTATGGGGCAACCCAAATCCTCTAGGAATCTATACTCCACCCATGTCTTTCAGGTAAAAAATAAAGACCCATAGATCTGGGAATCTTCATTGCCAAACCACTTTCAAAGACACAGTCACTGACTCTTGCTCCCTCAGTTTCAAAAGTCTTATCACTCTCCCACTCCCTTTTCCTCTCCCTCTTCTATTAATATTCTATTCCTATTATTCCCTCCTCCTTTTTTTGGTGTAGACCAGTATTTTCATCAATATGGGGAGATCATGGTATGGAAACTCTACTGATACAGGTCAACAGTTTGTCTCTAATTCTTAAAATCTGAATCCTAAAGAGTTGCTTGAGGCACTAAGAAAATAAGTGCTTCATTGTTCGGTCAATAAGAGTCACAGGCAGGTCTCCACCCCAGGTTTTCTGAATATCATGGGAAACTCTCTATCCACTAGACCAGTGTACCCAATACAAGCTCTGAATGTCCAGATTGCCAGCCACACCAGCACCGCTGATCATCAGCACCAGGAAATCTTCCCAACACTCCTGTAGAGCCAGGAAGGTCATTCACAGCTTTCTGCTTCAGACGCTCAGCTGCTGCCACATCAGAATCAATTCAGGAGTGTGTCTTGGGCAAATGGCAGCTGGGGAGAAAAGAAGCAAAGAAAGAGAAAGCCAAGGTTCCTGAGCACAAGCTTTACAGACTTTACAATTTTGTGGAGGACAAGGGCTAGGATGGAGACAGCTAGGTGGCTCAGTGAATAGAGCACTAGGCCTGAAGTCAGGAAGACCTGAGCTCAAATCTGCCCTCAGACTCTCACTAGCTATGTTACCCTGGGCCAGTCACTTAGCTTCTGTTTGCCTTAATCCCCTGGAGAAGGGAATGGCAAACCACTCCAGTATCTTTGCCAAGAAAACCCCATTGTCAGTATTGGCATGAAGAGTCAGACACAACTGAATGACTGAACAGCAACAAAACAAAAACTGGGGTAGAGGTGGGAGATAGGAATAGGTTCTAGTGTTCTGTGACATTAAAAGTAGTAAGACCCAGTAGATAGAGAACTGGACTTGGAATAAGGTGCCTTAGTTCAGATCCCACTGTAAACACCTATTCACAATGCGATCATCAAGTCACTTTACTTTTCAAGTCCTCAGTTTCCTCATCTGTAAAATAGGGATAATAATCCTTGTATAACATGCTTCTCTGGCTCCCACTGTCTGAGAGTCAGGTATGTTACATTCACCCTTCCTCAGGCTTCTCCACTTATCCTTAGGGAGTTAAGGACCTTTCTTCTCTGCCATTTGGTTCAAGCCCTGATTATATACTGATTATATTCCCACTGCTTAGGGGTTCAGATATCCCAGTTCCATTTAACCACTTAACAGTCAGTCTTGCTTTTACAGAAGAATATTTAACTTCACTTACTAGCTGTATGACCCTGGCAAGTCACTTAGCCCTGTTTGCCTCAGTTTCTTCATCTGTAAAATGAGGAAGGAAATGGCAAACCACGTCAGTATCTTTTCCAAAAAAATCTCAAATGGGGTCACAAAGAGTCAAGCATGACTGAAATGACTGAACAACAACATTTAACTTCAAAGTTATAGCAAGAACAAACATATTTTCCATAAGCATTTCATTGGCATAATTAATTCCCACCCTTTACCACCTTGGTTTCTGTAGCCACAAGGGAGAGGATTAGGCTCAGCTCCTAAATCACATAAGTCCCAGCAAGTTTCAAGTCCAAAACTAGCCCTAGGCTAGTTTCCTAGGATTCTGGCTTCTCAAGGCTTCCCGAGCTCCCAGGCCCAGGATACCACTCCATGCACATAGTACTGAAAAGAACATCTCTCACTAGAAAGCATAGGTATAGATGGATTTTTCCTTAAAATGATAAGAAGCATCTACATAAAACCATCAGCAAGCATTACTTGTAATGGGAATAAGCTAGAAGCCAACTCAGTAAGATCAGGAGTGAAATAAAGATGCCCATTATCACCAATATTATTCAATATTGTATTAGAAAGGCTAGCAATAGCAGTAAGAGAAGAAAAAGAAATTGCAGGAATCAGAATGGGCAATGAGATAATAAAACTATCTCTCTTTCCAGACAATATGGTAATATTTTTGGAAAATCCTAGAGATTCAACTAAAAAGATTGTTTAAATAATTAATAATTTTGGCAAAGAAGCAGGATATAAAATAAAACCAACATAAATCATCAGCATTTTTATATATCACCAACAAAACCCTGCAAGAAGAGATAGTAAGAGATACTCCATTTAAAATAACTGTAGGCTATATATATGAAATACCTGGGAGTATATCTGTCCAGACAAACCCCAGAACTACATGAACATAATTATAACTTTTTTATACAAATAAAGTCAGATTTAAATAATTGGAGAAATATTCATTGTTTGTGGGTAGGCAGAGCCAATATAATAAAAATGACAATTTTACCTAAGTTAATCTACTTACTCAATGACATCCCAATTAAACTACCAAAAATTATTTTATTGAGCTAGAAAAAAATAATAATAAAATTCATTCAGAAGAACAAAAGGTTGAGAATATCAAAGGAATTAATGGAAAAAAGTAAAGGAAGGAAGTCTAGCAATACCAGATCTTAAATTATGACTGTCATTATCAAAACTATCTAATACTGGTTAAGAAATAATGAAAAATGAAGTGAGTAGGACCAAGACAACATTGTATACAGTAACAGCAGTATTATTCTAAGAATAATAATGAACACCCAAGTTATTCTGACTACTATAAATATTCACATCAACTATAAAAGACCTATGAAGGAAGATGCTATCTACCTCCAGAAAAAGAACTGATAAATAGAAGTACTCATAGTATGGTTTTACATATATTTATAAAGCCGCATCCAATGGTAGCCTTCTCTAGTGCAGGGTGGGGAAGGAGAGAGGGAGATAGTTTGGAACTTAAAAATGTAACCAAAAAAATAAAGAGAAAAAAAGAGGAAGCAAACAATTAAAAAAAAAAAAAGAAAAAGAACATATGAAACAGACCCAAACTCCAAGCCCATTTCTTGGGTCCAAATGGCCCAAGGGGAGAAAGGGGCAGCCCTTAAATCCCTCCTCCATTTTACTTCATGTTGTCACTTGCTGTAAGTGAAGGAGTCCTGGATGCAAAATGAAAGAGACTATCCCAGTTAGGTAATTTTAGAGGTGCAGCCAAATTCCAGCTTTGTAGCCAATGGAAAGAGACAGCTCCTAACCATATGATAAACCAGAAATGTTCCTGCCCTGCGCTAGTCACCTTGTTTCCCAGAAGCAGGTCCTGGAGTCTGCCATGTTAGTGCCTCCATCTTAGGTGATCTGGACATGCATTATCTGTGTATTATAGCATTGTTATGAGCAAAACATTCTGCCAACCTTAAAGTACCATGTAAATGTGAGTTATCAATATCATTATCTCTGTTATTATCATCGGGTTTTTGAAGCCTAGTTTTAGTTTTGAGGATAGAAAAAAAGTCCAGGAATGAGTAGATAAAATTTTTCCAAATGTCAGTAGAAATGTGCATTCTCTTCACCTTGGTTCTCTGGCTACAGGATCTCTGACTCCTAACCCACAAAGACATTGGAGACTTCCCTGCCGAGAAATGGGAAGCCAACTTACCTATTGGTACAAACCTGTCCCTTACTTTGCCAGGACTGTCAGCTGGCCACATCAAAAAACTGGTGTTTGGCGATGAAAAAAGTTACTTTCTGGTGATTGGCCAGGCCGTGGAAGATGTCCGCTTTGCACAGAGCATGGCACAGATGAATGATACTATTCTGTCACCTAACTGCTGGCAACTCTGTGACCGGAGTGTAATTGAGATTGAGAGGATTCCCGACCAAAGAGCTGTTAAGGTAGGGGATGTTGATACTTATGGTGGCTAGTCGGCCATCCCTTGGCAGTATAGCTGCTGGAGGGGGCATTTGCTTTATTCACTGGGGTCTGCAAAGGTCCATGGTACTTTGGTGATGTCAGGTTCTCTTAGACGATAAAGAAATATTAACATCATGGACTTAGAGGATTCAGAGCTGGGAGGGTCCTTAGAGACATCTAGCCTAATGTTGTCCTTCTATAAATGAGGAAACAAAGACGTGAATGTGACTTTCTCAAGGTCACATGGATAGTAAATAGCAGTCAGAGCTGAAACACAGTTCTTTTATTTGCAGGTCAGGTATTCCTCTTGTGCTCCCATACTCTTAGGCCGGTGGATATTTTCTGTGACATGACATATCCCTTTCTGTGGGCAAATAGGGGGCTCCAGTTATTATACTGATGCAACAAGAGAACCCCTCTGGGCCCTTCTTCAGATTTATCAAAGAGTAAGAGATTTTAGACTTGGAAGGGAACCCCGATGTCATGGAGTCTAACCCCCTTAGTTTATAGATGAGAAAATTGAGGCCATGGAGATTACATAACTTGTGCAAATTCACACAGTGCCAAAGTAGGGTTGGAATCTGAATCTTAGGACTCCAAATCCAGTGTTCTTTCCTCTGCACCATGTTGATCTTGGATGAGAAGACAAATTTATCCAAGGCTATGACCAAAGAAACAGGGAAGAGGGAGAGCCATGATCAACATTGATGGTTCTCTTGTGATAACTCCCATTTCAATCATTTTTGCCACCACTACTCTGTAGCTGCTATTATTACTCCTAGATTAAAGTGAGCAGTAGCAGCCAAGTTAAGTGATAGTAGAGGACAGTGGGATTGACCAGGACAGGGTTAGGGTGGTGAATAGCTGGCCCATCCATCTGGTGGCAGGATGCCACTATTGAGTGAACAATTAAACTCAATGGCTTGAACCTGGGAGAGCACGCGTTAGCAAAAAGAGGTATTGGCTCTAAGCAAAGAAATCCCTACGGTGTAGTTTAATCTAGACTTATCCTCTTGGATCCTATGCAATTGGGACCCATGCAAGGACTCAGGGAGGCCACATACAGGAGAAACTGTCATCAAAAATTGTGTGTGTTGTGTGTGTGTGAGGAGGTGGTTGGGTTTTTTTTTTGTTGTTTGGTTTTTGTTTTTGTAATTGGGGTTAGGTGACTTGCCCAGGGTCACACAGCTAGTAAGTGTCAAGTGTTTGGTCTGAGGCCACATTTGAACTCAGGTCCTCCTGACTTCAGAGCTGGTGCTCTATCCACTGTACCACCTAGCTGCCCCAACCTGGTTGGTTGTTTTTTTTTAAAAGGCAAATATGCAACACTGTGCCTTTCTTTCCTCCTCATACACTGTCTATGAAGAAACACACACAGCTCAATGATACAGTTGGGTGAGGAGGAAGTTTATTTAGTCATATAACTAAGAGAAGGATTCTAAAGAAGAGTCACCTTCTACCTCCAGGAGAAGATATAGCCAAGTTTCTACACTTGGAGAAAAGCAATATGCTACTTTTAAGTAGCTGTCCTGACAAGCAGGACATACTAATTTATTTTCACTAAAGTTATGCTTCTGAGGTGGACCAGCACAATTTGTTTTTTCAAAGGTTATCTGGGACAACTTATTTTTTCTCCATACTTGGACTTGCAAAGCAAATTGAGCCAGAGGTGAACCCAAATACTGGGAAATGTGCATGATATTTTCAATTTACACTTGAATTGGAGGTGTTCTAAAAGGAAAAATGCATACAATAGGCATACAAGTATTAGTTAATATGGGCAGGAGTCTGACTTATTGCCAGTGGGATGAACCTAAATAGCTCACAGAAGGCTTGGATATCTGATATAACACTTTTTCCTGAATCACTTTCCTGCCTCTAAAGATTACTATAGGCATATTAAACAATTTTATATTCATCACAGGCATCTTCTTTAGATTTCTTATTTAGGTTTTCTTACACTAAAATGTTTTGCATGTATGAGATAATCAGGGTCACTCTTAGGCTCAAACGCAGTGGTTGTTAACCATTTTTTGTGTCATGGACCCCTTTGGTCGTCAGTCTGATGAAACCTATGGACCCTTCTCAGAATAATGTTTTTAAATGTATAAACCAAAGTATATAGCACTATAAAGGAAATAAATTATACTGAAATAGTTATCAAAATATTTTTAAAAAGTGAATTCATTACCGCCTCCCAAAAATCTATTTACAAACCTTCTTGCGGGGTGGGGAGCTATAAACCCCAAAAACCCCTGCTCTAAAGGGAAGATGGGACAAAAGGGACCTCAGAATCAGTGCGGGGTCTTGGTGTCCTCTGAGTTAGGTCATGGATAAAGAATCATCTGCTGTTTCCATTTGACTCTATATTTCACATCCTCATTTTTAAGCATAGGGAATCATCACTTAAACTTTGGTACATATGCAACAATTAGGAAAATAACTAATTCTTATAAGAAAAATTTCACTGCTCTATTCCTTTCACTGTGAGTTCAGGGAATTATCATAAAGTTGAACTTACCATAAGGCATTCACTGGTGAGAGCTATTTACTGTAAAGGGAAGAGGGACCATATTATATAATAGGATTAAAGTTCTGTCCAGATGGGTATGAAAGTGCCAGATTAATCTCTCACAAAACAAGTTAAAACAAAATTCTCTGAATTCTGTCTCATAATAGATAAAGTTAAGAAAATAATTTTAGGACAGCCTGTTTGTAACTTCATATTTTCCAGTAGGTAGGACAGCTAAACCAGTGTTCTAAATGGACAGGGGAGGCGTTTCCATTTAACGGGGAGAAGTGGAACAATAGAGAAATGAGTCAAGATTATACTGCCGCTGACTTCACAAGGTTAACGTCCCAAGAGTCTTAGTCACCTCTATCCATCTATAACTGCTTTCTCATGGGGGTCTGCTTCTTGACACCCCAACTTAGACCTACTAACTGGTCGCCTTCCATCATTTCTGGCTGACTCATCATCAACACTTTCACCTGAATCATTAAAGACATACACATTTACAATTCCAAGAGTTCTATCTTTTGTATCCATTAAGTTGACACCAAGTCTTTCTAAAAGTTTCAGAATCTTTTTTTTTTCTTATCTTTTGTCTTCTTAAGCTCTTGACTAACCTCCTTTTCATCGCACAAAGCAAATTTCCATGGTACAAATTAACAATCACAGAAATTTTTTTAAAAAGACATTCTGGGATTTTACACAGAAAATGAGAGCTTATAGAGAAATGATAGGGGCCTTTGAGACGAACAATGACATTTCCTAAGGTTAATCAAAGTGGCTTAATATCTCTGAGACTGTAGGGACTGCCTTAGGTTTTTATCCTTTTCTCAGACAAGGGCGGGTGAACAGAACAATCTTCCTGTCCTTCTGTTTTAGTTTAGAGCATCTGAGGGGTGATGAGTCTCTTAAAAGAAGGATTTGTGGATTTAAAGTTCAAGGTACTAGTGGTCAGAGATATCTGATGATCTCAAGATTTCAAAGCAGTCTCTTTTTCAACAGACTGGGCTGGGAATTCCAGGTTCTAGGTATTAAAATCTCTTAACATTCAACAACAATGTCTTACAGTACTTTAAAGGCTTATCATATGAAAGATAGCTTGCATTATTTCAACCTACTTCTCTATGTGACCATTGTATATTTCTGATGGGCCAGGGGCTATTTAGCATATTCAGTGGTTTACAATACGTGCCATAGCATAAGGCAAATAATTCTCTATGAGGCAAAGGAGGCAGCCAAAAATTGTACAATTATTATCTACTATCTCAATAATGATTACTGATCACAATATTCAATCAATAGTTATACTAATTGGAAATTTTGAAATCTAGAATCCTACTTTCTAACTGTGATGATTTGGGCTCCCCCCACGACCCCCAGCTTAAAATTCATTCATAAAAGTTTGTTTGTTTTTTACCTCAGATCTTGCCAGGCCAGAGTCAGATACTGATAAGGTTTCTGGCTACCATGGTTGGTCTCCTCCAACTCCCCCCTACTCTTTAAAAAAAACTGCCCATGAGATTTAGATGAACTTTGAGTTAAGCTAACCCTCAATTATTTAACTCTCATTTACCAGGATGAATTTTATATATTTAAATTTAAGCATTTTACATAGTAACAATCAAGGTTTTACTCAGGTCACATATATAGTTTACATGCTTACAAATATCTCTTTTTCAAAATGTGTATGTTTTTAGTAATAAAATATGGCATGATTATACCAGAAAGATTTTAGGACAAAGATAGCTATACATATTAAGTTTTTTTTAAAAACAATTAGAATTAGTTTTACTAGATAGCTATCTATTCCTGTGATAGGTTTAATTTAAACAACCTCTGAAAATAAGCCACAGTTTTACTCTGAGCAATTAAAAATCCACCCCACCTCCCATTCTTGGGAAATACAATAAAGGGATAAATATGTATCTATTATGTAGGAGATAAACAGAATCAATACTAAGTTTGAGGGACTCCTAGACTCCATAATCTTCACCTCTACGATAGCCAAGAGTGTCAGATATAAGTGCTTATAAAAGTGGATGCAAATATTCAACTCTCTTTTGTTCTAAATTTAACAGCCCTAGTGGAATTCAATAAATCTCAGAAAGAGAGAGTCTTTTCCCTTTGTTTACTGCCCATTGTCTCTTCTTTTTTTGGCCAAATTTAGAACAAAAAGAGTAGATTAAATAACTTCTCAAAGTTGATCTGAGATACCAATTATTAAGAGTAGCTTCTTGCTAAAAAATTTTATTTTTCTCCTGTTTTGCGGCTAAATTGCTGCACAGATGGACACAGGACACATTTTTTCTCCAGGGCTGACCAAACCAAGTGGAAAAGAAGTTCTGCCCAGATAGGCTCTCACTCCCAATCAAGTGAATTTAAGCTAGCAAATGTGCTTTAAGCTACTTCCATCATCTATCTATGTATCTATGTATCTATGTATCTATCTATCTATCTATCAACACAGATTAAAAACAAACACTTTTGCTAACTTTCACAGGTTTACATAGACATATAGACAGTAAACAACAAGATTCCAAAGTCAAAATCTTTATATTGGGAAGTCTATGTATGCCAAAGATAGATTCCCATTTTACCCGCTTTTCTCTTTTCTCTGCTTAAGAGTTAATTATATTTAAGGCAAATATGATGAAATAAAACTTACTGATCAGGGAACTTAACTTCCTCTAGAGCCTTAGAAAAGATGGACTGAGTCCATTTGGAGGAGCGGCCAATTTCTCCCTTGCTTTTTTCAGTCATGAGCTTGGATTTTCTCTCCGAATCTTTGTAGTTTGAGGCCATGAACTTGTTTTTAATTCTGTGGGCTTCTTCGTGTCAATCCACCATAACATCCCACTGGGCTTATTCTGTTTAAGACTGAAAGGATTGTAGAGCTTTCCATAAATGCAAAATTTTGTCCAGATGAAATGTTCTTCCCCTCAGAGAATTACTTAGAGGGGTCATCTTTAGTAAATTTGTTCTGCTATGTCCAGAAATTTATAAATCTTGAAGGAATGATAAATGGACTTGTAATATTCCAGAATTCCAAAAGGAGGAATTGAAACTTGCTTGGACTCATTTGTTCCCATCACAACATATTGATAAAGACAAAATAAAAAGAAACTTATTTAGGATGTGTATGGCCACTTGCAACCCACAATTACTTCATTGGATTAAAGGCTCAGCCAGGGGAGTTGTAAGACTTTGACCAAGGCAATGAGGATCCTGGTGCTGGCTGCTTTTCAATCATTCCTCTAAAACAGGCCCTCGAGTGACATATTTTCATTTTTATTGTCACTTTTTTTTTTTTTTTTTTTTTGCTTATGCAGTTCTTGCCCAGGGTCACACAGCTAGTATGTGTCAAGTGCTTGGTCTGAGGCCAGATTTGAACTCAGGGCCTCCTGACTTCAGGGCCGCTGCTTTATCCACTGCACCGCCTAATTGCCCCTATTGTTACTTTTTAATGGCTTCTTTTCCCCTTAATATTCATTTAACCAGATTTTTATATAAAAGTGAATTTAGAGTGAGGGAGCATAAGGGGAATGCAGCCTGGGTCCCATGCCCTAGGATGGCCCAGGCTCACAACCTTTCCTTTTTATTCTGAAAGTTGTTGCCTTAACTAAGTATCTTGAGTGATTCCTTGTCAACTTTATGACTTCTGGGTTCAAATATCACATATTACACTTATTAGCTATGTGACCACAACATTTACCCTTTTTGTGACTCAGGTTCCTCATCTGTAAAATGGGAATAATAATACCTAAGTTGATCACTGTAAAGACTAAATAATCCATTTAAAGTGTTTTGCAAACTTTAGAGCACTAAATCAATGTTGGTTTTTATTGTTACATGCATACCCACTCTGTGTTGTACATGTTGTATCCTCCGGTATACCAATCACTATGTACCAAACCTCTGTGGTATTATACTTGGACGACCACTCTTCATTATAAGGAAAATTGAAGCTCTCATTTTTCTTCCATTCAGGTTAACTTCCTAAAGCTACCCCCTGATTATAATTTTGATGAGTTTTTCATGAGATGTGTGGCCTACCTGGATTATTATCCTTCAGGTGATCATAAAAGTAAGTACACTTTATTCACTATGGCTCTGATGCAACCAGCTTGGCAGTCACAACTCGTCTTGTGGCAAAAACCTTTCATTTCACCCCAACCCACCTTCCGTGCATTGACTAATATTCTCAGTTTGGCTAGGTCCAAAGTAATGAACTAGGAAGTAACAAGAACAACAACAATAGTTAGCATTTATATAACACTTTAAGGTTTACAAAGTGCTTTACAAATATTTTATCCTCACAGCAACTCTGGGAAGTGGGTGCTATTTTTATGCCCATTTTACAGACAAGGAAACTAAGGTGACTTGCCCAGGGCCATACGGCTATTAAGTGTCTGAGGGTTACTAACTCAGGTCTTCTTAACGCCATGTCCAGCTATCTATCTACTGCACCATCTAGAACATAAGATTGTAAACTTGGAACTGGGAGATGCAAAGGTCATCCTGCCCAGTTCTGTCATGTTACAAATTAGGAGACTGAGGCCCAGAAAGGTTTGGTGACTTTTCCAAATCATGTAGCTTGTAAGTAGAAGAGTCAGGATTCAAACTCAGGTCCTGTGAGTATACATTCAGCTCTCTTGCCCATGTGAAGATGGATTGTGTAAGCCTTTCTCAGAAGCAACAGTAATGCGTAATGCTTGGAGGTGATGGAGAAAATGTTAATAATTAATAATTAGATTAAACTTAATTTTGGAAAATCAGTTGTTAAGCATTTACCAGCATGTCCCTAACACAATGTCTTAATTCACTTTGACTCAGCTGCAAGCATTACGCAAGTCATTTCCAGGCCTTTCCCGTATCCATCTCTGGTTAAGCTATAACACAGTTCTTTGCCTCTGCTCTCCCCTGCTAGTTCATGTTATTTTTATGGTCGCCTTCTCTGCCCATTTCAATGATACCAGTTCTCTCCAGTTGAAGGGTCTCTGATTCTGTAGCAGGGCTCTACCCTCAGAATTGCTCTGAATCTGCCCTCTTCTCTTCTCTTCTCGGCCCACATCTGTTCAGCTCTACTGAGCTCCCCTGGCTCTGGTAGCTTTGTCACTGCCTTTCTAAGACTCCCACAGCAATTACTTTCCCATGGTAGCTTTCCTTGGTCCCTTTCCATCATGGAGTCACCTACTTAGGTGTTCATCTCCTGGCTACTGTTGCTTCTGAGAAAGTCTTACACCTACCATGGGAAGCCTTCCTGATGCCCCTTGTGGTTCAGATTTCTTCTCTCCACAAATAAGCATGTTTATCTGTTTCTATTGTGGACCCCACACCTTCTCCCAAATGCCCTGCCACACAAGTAGCATGTAATTTTCTTTAGGGCAAAAGCTGTCTTTCATTTTGTTTTCATGTTCCCAACATGTGACAGAGTGCCTTGTTCTACTTGATGGTGAATGAATGAATGAATGAATGAAATGATAAGAGAGGGCCCTAAATTCCATGAGTAAAGTCTTTAGGAGGTCATATGATAATGGATTTAGAGGTTGGAGGGCCCTTCATGTTATAGATAAAGAGAAGAAGACAAGAAGAGGTTGTGATTTGCGTAGGTCAAAATCCCAAGTCTAGTGATTTCAAATCCGGGCAACGGACAGCATCATTTTGGGACACCTGTTTCTTTTGTTTGCTTTTGTATTTGCTTGTGTTTGCTTTTAACTTCTCAAAGCTCTTTCCTATCCACTAACGCATTTGATCCTTCATAGCAAGGCTGGGGAGTAAGCTGGGCAGGGATAAGTTGTTAGATAAGGTAAAAGATGTAAAGGGACAGGGTAAATTAAAAAGAATCATGTAACAAAATAATGTGTTTGTATTTTAAACCACTGACTGTGGGGCCAGTGGTAGTACTAGAACCCCAGTCCCCCGACTTCTAGGGTGAGTTCTCTGGACCCATAGGCCTAAGAAATAAAGCTTCCTAGTCTTCCAGGCAGTGGCAACTGAAAGATATCCCGCGTGTTGAAAGACACTGTCCAGAGGACGTTCTGTTTGGGGGTACCCTTGGCTGCATCTGGTGGCACAGCCATCTCTTCCTTCGCATTCCCCTGGACACCAGCCTAGTGTGGGTTCTCATCACCTATATTATTGAAACAGCCTCCTTACTGGTCCTTTTGCTTCTAGACTCTCCCTCTTTCAATAAACCCTAAGCCCCTCTGCCCATTTCATGTCTCTAAAATAGAGCTTTCATCCTTTTGCTCAAGAACTTCCAATGGCTCCAGTTGCCACCGAGGCAGCAGAATCCTGTACAGCCCAGGCCAGCTCTAGGAGCAGCCATTGAAATACCAAGAACTTATACCAGGGCAGGACAACTTCTGCCCCCTGGCACTGGCAGTCCTACAGTCACTATGAGAACTAGTGCTGGGCATCTTTTCATGGGATTAAAGAAACTTGGCTTCCTCTCCACTCAGTGTAGATGATTCATAGTAACAATATTAATAATAACTAACATTTATGTAGGGTTTACTGTGCACCAGGGGTATATGCTAAGGGACGTATGCTAAATGCTTTACAATTATTATCTCTTTTGATCCTCACAACAACCGTGGTAGGTAGGTGCTATTATTAGCCTCATTTTACAGATGAAGAAACTGAGGTAAACAGGTCAAATGACCAAGCCATACAGCTAGTAATTGTCTAAGGCCAGATTGGAACCCAGATCTTTCTTATTTCAGGCCTGGCACTCTAGCCAACTCTGGATCATTGCTGAGTCCTGTTTCTGAGTGACAGTCTGCTTGTAGCACTTATGTCCTCACTCTAGGGCATTCAGTGGCCAGACCTCCTCCCTTCCTATGTCACTAAGGTTCTGCCACTCATTTTTGTTAGACTCTAATGGGAACATCTATTTTAGATTGGGGAGTGGTTCACACCTTCACAAGGCAGGGTGATTTAGAGCCACGTCTACTCCAACCTCCTTGATTTAACAAATGAGGAAACTGACTTGCATTTAGTAACAGCCAGGTTTCAAAGCCAAGTCCTCTGACTGCAAACCTGGCAAGCTTTCCACTCTTCTGTTCTCCTTTTGAAAATTCCACCCCCACCCCCACCCCCAAAAGTTTGGATATTTTTCTGCCATATTTGGGAAACACTCCTTGGGGAAGCCACCATAGGGTAACAACATGGGCCTGAGACATCAGGCTAGGCTCCCAAAAACTGCAGAGGAGATAGTGAAGTCCTGAGTAATCCAACTTACTTTGCAAGTCAATTTTTAATTCAATTCAATAAACATTTACTCAGTAGCTATATGTGATAGGTGCTGAGGAAGGCACAAAGATTAAATAGATCCTTGTTAGGAGACTGGCTGCTTGGCAATATTTAATTTTTAACCGACATTGTGTTTGCTTTTAAGCTTTTTGGAATAGAGATGACTACCTTCATCTACTCAGATCCTGTAAGACAAATAGGCAGTAATGAGTCATGTGACTGAAGGCATAGTGTCCAGAATCTCTGAACCCTAGGCAGTCCACATTTAGAGAATGAGAGTCACTTCTGAGTGCCACATTTGAAGGAAGGCATTGATAAGCTAGAGTATATTAAAAGGAAGGTGACCAAATGGTAAGGGGACTGGAGACCATATGAGGACCAGTTGATGGGAAAAGGAATATTTAGCCTGGAGAAGTCCAGATTTAATGGGGTGATGGGTAAGGGGGAACATGATAACTACCTTCAAATATTTGAAGGGCTGTCATGTCAAGGAAGGATTTAACTTGTCCAGCTTGGCCCCTAACAGCAGCAGCTGGGAAGTTGCAGGGAGATATATTTTGACTTGATGTCACAAAGGACTTCTTGAGAATTGGAGCTGTCTGAAAGCGGAGTGAATCACCTCAGAAGGCAATGGGATCTCACTGGAGGTCTTCACAGATTAGATTGCCATTTGTCTGATCTGTTGTAAAGGAAATGCCTGCTGCAGATATAGATTATGCTGGAGAGCCTCTGAAATCACTTTACATCTGGCATCCTGGAATTCTCAGGATTAAAGAGGCAGTTTCTTATTGTTAATATGTTTGGACCTCTTTAATTCAAAACCAACTTGGTGCTTGTGAAGGGCCCTGGCACAGAAGTTGCAATGCAAAGGCGTGTTGTTAGCACCGTGCTACAGTGGTTATTGAGGAGTAGACTATGTAGAGACTACTAAAAGATAGGACAGATTACATATGACCTCACTAGACAAGGGGCTTTTAATACCAAAGGTCTTCTGAGGGCTCTTTCTCTGATTCTCCCTGAGGCAGGGGCAGCTCAGCTCTTTTTCTCTTTCCTTAGTTTACTTTTCTGCTTCCCCGCTTCGACTCTTTCTTGGCAGCTACATGAGGGGTCCAGCTAGGCCCAGTTGAAGTAGTGATTGGTCATCTAGATCCATCCTCTCTGCAGTAATAGTTGTGTCTATACTTCTAGAGTTTCTCTTAGGAAGCAGACATCTCAATCAATTGTTTTTAATAAATTTTGACATGTTTTTGCTGAGCTAGACATTTCGCTGGAAGTTCATGTTCTTACATATCTTCATTATGTATTTCTTGCACTTACCCTCTTTTTTCTGGTCAGCAAGCTAAGCATCCTATATTGCTTATTCTTTTAAGGTAATAAGGAAGGTCAGTTCAAGCTCCTAATCTCTTCTGAGGAATAGCAGTCTTAACACTTTGCTCCCATGGAGATTATGATCTAGGAAATGATTTTCTACTTAAAGTTCATGCTCCCAATAGAAATCCCAAGACTGTGATACAATGCCCACATCCAGTGCACAAAAGAGGTAAGAACATGAAGTCCAGGAAATCCTAAACTCTTAGAAGATCTCCAGATGGTGGCACTACTTATTCAGCTGGAGGGGTATGGCTCAGAGGACCAAATGTGGAAGTGTGCAGAGGATGTCCATGCCATCTCCTTGGAAACCCAGTTTCAGAGATGTACTCCAAGACGTTCTAGACAATGTGACCAGGAGGGATGGGGGTTGGAATACCAGAGAAGGAATTCTGACAAGTTCCAGCTGTCTCTGTTGTAGGAGAGCCATGAATATCTCCTAATATGTGCCTAGCAAGAGGG